TTGTTCTTGTGTACACAACCTTTGCGGTCCTGTTCATCGCGCGGTTTAAAGGGCAGGAGGTTAAGACTGGAAAACTTTAATTCACAATGCGATTATCAAATTATCCGGTTTCATGAGACAAATCAATATAATCTGCAATTTAAATCGCGATATTTAATGGCTCCATTAGTGCCCAATTCTTGCAGATGATTTATTTTTTATATATACATATATATTTATAGGAAAGCTTGTAGGCGAGATCATCTTCATATCGGACAGCTGACGAAAATCTTCCCTGAGGCTCGGATTGGTGGGCGTGGGTGGGTGGGGGGGGCGATGGTACTCTTACAGGATACTTTGCTCTCTGTGCACTCTAATCTTCATACATGCGCACATTCATTCATGTATTTTTACATACACACACGCCCACACGCACACAAACACAAACGCACACACAATATTTCTGTTTTTTCTTTGCCTCTGTCTCTCTGTCTCGCGCTCTGTTTCCCCTTGTCTCTGATTATTATGTTTATATCTATCTATCTATCTATCTCTATCTCTCTCTCTATATATATACACATACATACATATATATTATATATATATATATATGTGTGTGTGTGTGTGTGTGTGTGTGTGTGTGTGTGTGTGTGTGTGTGTGTGTGTGTGTGTGTGTGTGTCTGTTTATATATATATCTGTGTGTGCGTACTTATATATATATAGTGCATACACACACATATATAATTATGTATACACACATATGTATATATATTACATACACAGACACACACACACGCATATATATATGTATATATATATATATATATATATATATATATATATATATATGTATATATAAATAATTATGTATACACACAAATATATATTTATTACACACACACACACACACAAACATACATACATACATACATACATACATATATATATATATATATATATATATATATATATATATATGTGTGTGTGTGTGTGTGTGTGTGTGTGTGTGTGTGTGTGTGTGTGTGTGTGTATGTTTGTATATATATATATACACAAACACAAACACAGTAACGTGTACACAAACATGAAAGGAAAAATGCCACAGTAAGAAATGAAATTGAAATGTAACGTTTCGAACCAATTTTTTTTGTTTTTTTCAGTTGTCTGAAGAGGAACTCGTGAAGAGTTCGAAACGTTACATTTCAATTTCACTTCTTACTGTGGCATTTTTCTTTTCATATATATATATATATATATATATATATATATGAATATATATGTGTGTATGCATGTATGTATGCATGCATATGTATATATACATGCATATACATATATACACATATACTATATATATATATATATATATATATATATATATATATATATATATATATATATATATATAAAATCTATCTATCTATCTATCTATCTATATATATATATACATATATATATGCGCGTATGTGTGTGTTTGTCTACGTATATGTACGAGTATGTATGCATGCATACACACCTGCTAGAAATGATTAGACTGAACGACAGAGACAAATACACACAAGCGCAGAACTCGCAATCAAACATTAACATCACACTGAATTATAAAGAAGCTCTAATTGGGCGCACTCGTCATCCACACGCCTCCACACTCCACGCCTCCACGCCTCCACGCTCCACTCCCCCCCCTCCCCCCTCCCCCCTCCCCCCCCTAGGGCAATATGATTAGGTGGATCTTTATCATTTCTGAGATTAATTTGATGGCGAATGTTACACTTGTGCATTGATAAAGCACTCTCGATTGATTTTTATTTACACCTACAACCCCCACCCCCCCTTCCTTCCCCTTTCCCCTCCTCCCTCCCCCCCCCACCTTTCCCCCCATCTCCTCAAAGAAGTTGAATTGAATAAGTGAATGAATTTATGAATAAGAGGTTCGGTAAATAGATAAGGAAGAAATTGGTAAAAAGTTTTATAAAAGTAATCGAAAAAAAAATTGTTTATTCATTTATTAAAATTGAAATTGTGGAGTATCACAGTAGGTGTATTTATGATGATATGAAAACGAAAACAAGAAGTTGAACAGAATCGAATATTTAAAGAAACAGATAATGACAAATACAGATACAGATAGAATAAGTAATAAACGGAAAGTGGATATAATGAATATAAACATAGATAGAGAAATAAAGGGATTAATGAGCTTCGAAAGACAATGAAATATTACGAATAGGAATGTATAGGCCTATGAAAAAAGTACATAAAACTTATATTGAATTTAATTGATAGAAAGAGATATGCATTCTCCATCCGCGCCCCCCCCCCCCCCAAAAAAAAAAAAAAAAAAAAAAAAAAAAAAAAAAAAAAAATATATATATATATATATATATATATATATATATATATATATATATATATATATATACATATAAGAAATGTGTATAAAAACAAATAAAAAAAAGTTCTACTACTTTCGTCTTTCAAATTAACCCTTTTGCCTACCCACCCCCTCCCCCCCTCCCCTCC